TTTATTTATATATATATATATATATATATATATATAATATCATTATTATTATATTATTATTATTATCATCAAATAGTCTAATTGAATGAGGTAAAATAGGTTTCTCTTCTTTTTTTGTCCTTGAGCTGATCAGTTTCTGTTGTCTGTAGTGTTAACTTTCTGTGTGTTTGTCCATGTCCTGTAGGGCTGAGGTAGAGAGCGTAGTTTCGCGTAGAGAGCAGAAGAGAGCTCAGTACAGGCAGGTGAAGGCTCACGTGCAGAAAGAGGACAGCCGGATGCAGGCGTACGGATGGAGTTTACCTCCAAAATACAAGGTAACGTCTGACGCTGTGTAACAGAGACTTGTACCATGCATATTATGAGAAAGCAGAGATCACAATGAAAAGTTGCCTATTAATATATTACAAAAAGTTTGTTTTTTAATATCTAATGGGTTTCTAAAAGTATTTTATTTATCGTTATGCTGTTTTCAAAGGTTGCAAATGGTGGACAAGGAGACAAAAACTTGCCAGTGCCCGTCTACCTCCGACCGTTAGATGAGAAAGATGCTTCCATGAAGGTGAGACTGTTCTCAGATTGAGTCCTGAGCTCAGTGAGTGTTGTAGTTTGATGGTGTTTGTTGTGTGTTTGTGTGTGTAGCTGTGGTGCGCTGCAGGAGTCAATCTCTCAGGTGGAAAAACACGAGACGGAGGCTCCATCGTGGGAGCGAGTGTGTTTTATAAAGATGTGTCTGGAGGAGAGAGCGGCCCCATCAGCCCCAGGAAGAAGAGAGGATCACAGAGCAGCCTGGAGCGACTGGAGCAGGAGCTCAAGGTCAGGAGCCCCAAAAATCACGTACAAAATTTATATGTCATGATGAAGGAAATGCATGCAAAACCATTGTTTTTTTGTTTTGTTTTTTCATGCACTGGTCAATTTTGAGATTTTGCTTCCATAACATGTCTTCTTTCAGACTAGTAGAAAAATACAAATTTAAGTGTTTATTTTATTGCACTTCATCTATTTGCATTTGTAGATTTAAATTCCCATCCATATCTTTTTTACTCCACTTTAGCATCACTTACATACACTAAACTTTAAAGATTTATCTGTATTATATATGCATATACATATGCATATCTCAAGGGTTTTACAGAGGGGTTTGTTCATATATCGTTTACCCGACTCCTTTTATCCATAAAAACATGGTTCTGTTTCTGTCTGTTGACAGTATATTCTGATTTATGATAAAGTGATAAAAAGAGAAATCCAAAATTCCATCTGGAAAAACCTATAATTCTATTATATCCCATATGCAAATAAACAAATGTAAAAAAATAAATTAATTAAAAAAAAAAGTAATGGGTATTTATATTTTTCAAGTGTTCATATTTCTGTTCTGGAAATGTTTATGCTAGGGATGCACTGAAATGAAAATTCTTGGCTGAAGCCGAACAAAATGAAACACTGGGCCAAAGGCTGAATACCTAACACGGTTTTTCGCCAATTTTTTTCACCATTGCATAAATTAAAGACAAAATTTGCTTTTTACTGTAAAAAAAATCAATAACAAAACAATTTAATAATATTTACTTAACAATTAACTTTTTTTTTACTTTCTAGCAGACATTCCAACAAAGCACAATTTAACTTAAAATTAATAAGTTAGTAAAATAATATTTTTGGCCATTTTTGAGACCCCCTTCTTAAATCAGGCATGTATTTTTTTTACTGTACAAATAAATGCAGCCTTGCTTAGCGGAAGAGAATTCTTTTAAAATATTAGAACATATTACAGATCCCAATTTGAACACTGTGTGGATGTTAAAATAAATGTATTAATAGAGCTGTTGCAATTATTATCCTTATTATTGTCTTGCTTTTTTATTTTATTTTACCGAACAACAGTAAAATTACAATACTTAAATTTTTTACATATTTAATTAGATAATACTTTATATGCAAAACTATTTTCATAATATAAATTAAGCAAATTATTGCATATTTAATTCATATTTTTTCCAATGTTTACATTTCTGTTCTAGAAATGTATATGCAAACATTTAAACTTGCTTTTTTATTTTATTTTACCGAACAACAGTAAAATTACAATACTTAAATTTTTTACATATTTAATTAGATAATACTTTATATGCAAAACTATTTTCATAATATAAATTAAGCAAATTATTGCATATTTAATTCATATTTTTTCCAATGCTTACATTTCTGTTCTAGAAATGTATATGCAAACATTTTTAAAAAAATCCCCTGTATAAAAAATTCATCACCAGAATAAAACAAGAATTTTGAATTTATCCGATGTTTACATTTCTTTTCTGGAAATATATATGCAAATATGCCAATAAAAAAAATTAAAGAACAGAAATCTGAACATTGGGAAAATAGTCATGTTACGCTTCATTTGCATATTTCAACATAACATTTCAGAAAACTTGTAATACAAAACAGCTGTCTTAATGTACTGTGATTTAATCAGATGGGGAAGTATGGTGATGTCTAACGTGTACTCTGTTCACCTGTGGTGTCTTGCCGTACAGTCTTTAATGTTGTGTTATTGTGTGTGTGATCAGGAGCAGGAGAAGGAGCTGCGGCATCAGGATGAGCTCTCCAGCCTGGTGTGGATCTGCACCACTACACACTCCACCTCTAAAGTCATAGTCATCGACGCTAACCAGCCCGGAAACATCCTGGAGACCTTTTTATTCTGCAACTCTCACGTGCTGTGCATCGCCAGCGTACCTGGTCAGACAATGCAATGAGACCTTATTTATAACCTCCACAAGTGCTTTTGGTTTGAGCCAGTTCTCTGTGTGTGTTTGTCAGGCGCTCATGAGACGGACTATCCCGCAGGAGAGGAGCTGAGCGCAGACGGTGAGGCTTCTAAAGTCAGCTGTACGGCAGCAAACAGCTCCACGGGTTTTGACGGAGGTCTGGAAGGCATCACTGTCATGGGCTGCTCTGCAGAAGGACCTGTGGCGATCCCTCAAACCGTCTGCACCAACTCCATAGAGTCCTCAGACACTGGTAACACAGCATCCGTCACAATAACACTAACAGGCAAAAAATATCATTAATGCATGTTTTATTTACTCCATTTTTCTCCATAGAAACTTTCCCTTTAACATAATGAAACACTGGCTTATTCTTCCAACACTCTTGCATTTGCCAGTCTCACACACACACACAAAAAATAGCACTTCACAAAAATGAATTAACAAATAATTCCTTAACGCATACAAAAGACATGAACATTTTTACAAAAAAAAAAAAAAAGTCATGTTACCCACAACATGAATGTATGCAGAACAGTGCATAGTGTTAATAAATATGCAGTCTCTAAAACAACTTGGCTTTTTGACTGGCATTGCAAGTAAATTTGGATTCAGTCGATAAATGTTTTTTTTTATGTTCTAACTTTTTTCTTGTTTGAATATCCCATTTCACTTGGAATTAGATCAGAATTAATGAGTTAATGTAAACTGAGTTGCAAACTGTTTTCATGTTGACTTGAAGACCCTTGTTTTACTTTATTATTTCTTGTATTACAACAACAACATTTATTTATAAAGCACATTTAAACGCAATATAAATTGATCCAAAGTACAAAGTACAACAAATCTACTAATAAAAACAACAACTACATGCATACAAAGGCTAAAGAGTAAAAATAAGATTTGAGTCTAGACTTAAGATTTAAGTCTAGACTTAAAAATGTCCAAAGAAGGAGCAGATCTCACATGATAGGGGAGACCATTCCAAAGCTTGGGGCCAACCACAGAAAAAGCCCGATCACCCTTTGATTTGTACCGACACCGTGGCACAGTTAGAAGCAAGTGACTCGAAGATCTAAGTGCCCTTGCAGGACAATATGACACAAGAAGTTCAGAGATATAACTTGTTGCACAACCAGACAATGCCTTATAAACAAGCCGCAGCATTTTGAACAGCTTGCAATCGTGACAATGAAGATTGAGGAAGACCAGAATAAAGGGAGTTACAATAATCCAATCGAGATGTAACAAGTGCATGAATCACAACTTCCATATCCTTCCTTGAAAGAAGATGCTTCAACTTTGCAAAGGTCAAAAATCACTCCAAGGTTCGTACATTAGTTGAAAGTGGACCTAACTGAGCTTCCAATGCAGGAGACGAGTGTGCAGGGCAACCTGATATTAAAACCTCAGTTTTATCCTCATTTAACTGCAGGAAATTATTAGACATCCATGTCTTAATATCATGTACACATTTCAATAATACATCAAATGAAACAGCAGAATCAAGCCTTACTAGTAGATAAAACTGAGAATCATCCGCATAACAATGATATGAAATACTGTATTTTGAAAAATGTGGGCAAAGGGAAGCATATAAAGGGAAAACAGTAAAGGTCCCAAAATGGATCCCTGGGGCACTTCACACAAGACATGTGCAGAGGATGAGGAAAACTTTCCAAAATTTACAGAAAAAGTCTTGTTCTCGAGATACAAGGCAAACCACTTTAATGCAGTGCCTCGAATACCTACCATACATTCAAGTCGATCAAGAAGAATGTTATGGTCAATGGTGTCAAATGCTCCAGGTCCAACAATACCAGCACAACACAAGCACCTGAAATCAGAGAAAGCAGCATGTCAATTGTAACTCTCAATAGAGCTGACTCAGTACTGTGTAATGATCTAAAACCAGATTGAAACGTATCTAAAACACGTAATCAAACAATAATCCAAAAAACACTGAAGTTGTGAAAACACTACTTTCTCCAAAAGCTTGCTGATAAAAGGCAACTTAGAAATTGGCCGATAGTTACAGCACATTACTGGGTCAAGCTGAGGTTTTTTTCAGCAGAGGTTGCACAACTGCATGTTTAAAACTGGCTGGAACAACACCTTACACCTTGTATTACCTTACTTAAGTTTGAGGCTTAAAAGATGATTAATATTTAGAAAATATCATTGATCTGAATGTACTGATACACCAGATGAGAACACAGAACTTAAACTCAATTGAGCTAAATAATGACACTTGTCTTCTGTAGAGCCACTTTTTGAAATTGTTTCATAATTAATTAACTTTGCAGCATTGACACTATTAAACTGAACTGATCTAAATAATGACACTAGAGCTGCTTTACAGCTGAAATTGAAGTTGTTTCATAATTGATTAATTTTACATTAACACTGTTATTTTCCTGTTTATTAACTCTTTCTCCGCCAATGTTTTTTTTTTTAAGCTGCCAGCCACCACAAGCATTTTTGATCTTTTGCACAAGTTTAATTATGGCCCCCAGAATATTGCATGATTTGTTACATGAATATCTGAACATGCAATATGTCAAAACAAAGAACTCAGCCTCTGCTTAAAAAAAAATGTTTCTAGCTTCATGCAGTCGTTTTTTTTATTAAGCAAAATTTTAACAAAAAGCTGAGAAAATCCTGTTTTTGTAAAAGACACAGTAGATCACTTCTATCAACACATCCAAAGCTTGCACGGTCCTATACCATTTCCTGGATTGACATTTCATTCAGTAACGCTGTTTAATGCTTGATGATCATGTTATTTTACATAATGCATCTGCTTACATACGCGATTGCTTGTTTCTGCTTCGTCTTCGCCGTGTTTTGATCCAGACGTTCAATACACTTTCAGATGCGTAATAGCGCCTCCTACCATACACCAGTGAAAACACAGAAAGCCGGGAAATTCCGTCAATGGAAAGGAAAGAGTTTATGTAAAGCTGCGTTGAAACGTTCTGTATTGTATAGAGCACTATAGAAATGAATGTAACGTTACGTCTCTCTGCAGATGAGGTTTTGGGGCAGCGGCAGCAGGATGGGGTAACGGCAGCAGAAGAAGCTCTGGAGGCCACAGAGAGCAACAGCAACACGCCTGCAGATGAGAACCAGCCCGGGATCTACACCGAACACGTGTTCACCGACCCGCTCGGCGTGCAGAACAGCAGAGACACACCGTCCAGCTACACCCAGAGGTGTGTGGCACTTCACGTCTCTCAGTCTGTTATTACAGTGTAGCTGTATTGAGGTGTACTGAGATGTCTTTGTAACGTCTTGGCTCTGTAGGGAGTGTGATCTGGTGAAGGACGGCGTCAGCTCGATGCCCGAGGAGCAGGATCTCATGAGAGAGGAAGCCAGCAAGATGAGCAGCGTTCTGCCTACAATGTGGCTCGGGGCTCAGAACGGCTGGTGAGTTTCCGGCAAACTCGCCCTTGGTGTTTCTACCAATCACTTGCAAGTGTGGAAAATAAACAGGGTTCCCACTAGGGCTGCACGATTAATCGAAATAAAACCAAAATTGCGATATAGGTTAGTGCACGAAGACTGCTATTTAAATAAATATATGCGCTGCATGTTTCAGAGTGAAGTGCAACACTTTATTCTTACATGTCAGCAGCGTTTGCAGCATTTTTAACATCTCGGAGAAGCTCAGTTCACAGTAACTGCTGCTCCACGTGAACTCCATCTCTGTCACTTTAATGTTCATTTGGGAAACATGTCAACCGTCTTCAACCAACTTGTAATGAGAAATGCTTCCTTTATCATATCTTAAACATCATGGATTTTTTTTTTAAATATGCATTTTCCTCATTTTAATTCCATTTAATCAGTTAGATGTCCCGTAAGTAAGCAAAACTTGCTCTCAAGCTGTAGTGCTGTAGGTTAAGTCAGTTCATTTGCTTCACAAATTGGTCTGAATGATTCATTAGCGAATCAAGCAAAATCAAAATGATTTGTAAAAACCTTTTCCATTAATTACAAACAATTGGAAAGGTCATGGTAATGCACTGATTAAGAATGGAGATGTATTGAGTGTACTCTGTTGCAGTGTATACGTGCACTCATCTGTGGCGCAGTGGAGGAAGTGTATTCACTCCATCAAGTTAAAGGATTCCGTCCTGGGGATTGTGTAAGGAAACTCTCATCATCTGGATACATTTACATAAATAAACTACAGCGCTTTCTTCAGCAGCAGCTGCTCATTACTCTTTCTTTTCTTCTGTGAAGTCATGTGAAAGGACGTGTTCTGGTAGCTTTGGCTGATGGCACGCTTGCAATCTTCCACAGAGGTGTTGGTAAGACTTATTTCTAAAAACGAATGTAGTACCTTAAAGATGTTAATTACATTCACCCATACTACATATGTAATGCACACGACACCAGACCAGAATAAATGCTCTTTTAATGAAGGATATTTGTGTTACAGATGGCCAGTGGGATTTGACCAACTACCACCTGTTAGATCTGGGCCGTCCGCATCACTCCATCCGCTGTATGACTGTAGTGCATGATAAGGTCTGGTGTGGATACAGGAACAAGATCTTTGTGGTGCAACCCAAAGCCATGAAGATCGAGGTATGACTTTTCTGTGACATTTTGTGAGGTAACAAGCATGCATCTAACATATATCTCAGATACACTACTGTTCAAAATTGTTTTTTTTTATATATATATATAAAATAAACAACACATGTTATAGTTATATTTCAAGATGAGCATTTACTAGATGAAGCAACTTAAATTTGATTGTGTCATTCTTAGAAAAAAAGTGCATTTATCAAATAGGACACAACAGGCTTTTAAAGAATGCATATTTGTACATCTCTCAATTCTCAATATATATATATATATATTATTTATTTTATTTAATAAAAAAATAAAAATAAAACAAGAAGTATTTAATACTTATTTGTTGTTTTTCTATATGGACTCAATCTCCAAATGAATTCAATTAATATTAAAAGTTGAATAGTGAAAGTGTAATATTAAAAATGAAAAAAAAACAAATTTCTTACCAACCCAAACCTTTTCAGCAGCGGCCCATGTTTAGCATTATTATTGAAACATTTTATTTTTCAAGATGCTGTTGAATTTTTCAGTTTACATTTTTATTTTATTTTTTTGGTCAAATTATTACTTAAACATTTATTTTCATTCAATGACGTGATATACTGCTTCTCTTCAGATTCTAATCAGATTCCTGCTCATGAATCCCCCTCACATGTAATAAAATCAGTGTAACTCAATTCCTTATTGGTTTACTGTGCTGTTCCTCATGTACAGAAATCGTTCGACGCTCATCCTCGTAAGGAGAGTCAGGTGAGGCAGCTGGCTTGGGATGGAGATGGCATCTGGGTGTCCATTCGTCTGGACTCGACCCTCAGACTCTTCCATGCACACACATACCAGCACCTGCAGGATGTTGACATCGAGCCGTACGTCAGCAAGATGCTGGGTGAGTGCTGTTTTATCAAAGCATTCGAGAGTCCTGCAGTGCCGTTCAGATGACTGATGCTGTGTGTGTCACAGGCACCGGTAAGCTGGGCTTCTCTTTCGTGAGGATCACCGCTCTGATGGTCTCCTGCAACCGCCTGTGGGTAGGAACCGGAAACGGTGTCATCATCTCCATCCCTCTGTCAGAGAGTGCGTCAGCCGTGTGCTTCCAATCATGTCATCGGTGGTAATGTAATTCTGTGTCATGAGAGTAATGTCATTTTTTATTCCCACAACAGAAAGTAAAGACGCAGCGGCGGCGGGGTCAAATCGTCCAGGCGGTGCAATCCATGTCTACGGTGATGAGAGCGGAGATAAAGTCACGACAGGCACGTTTGTGCCCTTCTGCTCCATGGCTCACGCCCAGCTGTGCTTCCACGGACACAGAGACGCCGTCAAGTTCTTCACCGCAGTCCCAGGTACAACAGTTGATCATGAGTACAGAACTATGAACTATGTTTTATTTTTTACCAAGTTAATATTTTCCAGGTGTTATTTTTATGCTTTATTTTTTAAACAGCTTTTTAAAATTGTTAGTATACCAAAAAAAAAAAATGTAATTAACAAACACCTAGTACAATAGAGAGGAATAATTAAAAAGCTAGACGGTGTCTGTTTAGGATTCCGTTTTAATGGTTAAATTACATTTCTAAATTACAACTAAAAAGCATGTTTAATTAATGGAAATTATGAAACATACAGTTTAACAGCCATTTTAACAAGTTTAACAAACATTTAATTTTTAGGGCCCTATGGGCCAGATTTACTAACAGCTTGTGCCAACGCAAACCGTCTTTTGGCGTTAAAATAGTACTGTCAGGATTTACTAAAGACGCGCAGTGAAGAAATAGCGCTGAAAAGGCATGAACACAGTTATTTTTGTGCCTGACATAATTGAATATACATTTGTAGGAGTTTCCCTTTCAGACGCAAAATTTATGGGAGGAGAGTATTAAAATGAATCGATTGCAAACATTTGCGCTCGTCCTAATTACTTGTATTGCGCCATTATTTAACACCCAGAAAAGCATGTCTTAAAGCAGGCGGTAATTTGCGCTGCTCTTGGTAGATTGCGCTGGTCATTATGGAAATGATCTGGCTGCGTCTGTGTTCTTTAATGTGTGCATTGTCAGTAAATCACACACAGAATTTTCCCCTCCCATCGGCGCTTTTATTGAATGGTGCTCTAACGCTAATTTGCCCTGTTTAGTAAATCTGGCCCTAAGAATTTTTTTTTTTTTTCCATTTAATATTTTTTTCCCAGTTTTATTATGATTATTTATTTATTTATTGGATTCTGTTTTACCTGTTAAAAATGTCAAATTAATTGTATTCATAAAACTTTAACAATTTAATAATTTATTAATTCATTAGATTTAGTACATGTGGGAATAAAAAAATAAATATATATATAAAAAAATTAATGAAAGAATAAAAATACAGTTAAAAATAAAGAAAATAATGAATAAAGTGAGAAAGTAATACAAAAATTAATTTGGGACTAAATTTAATTAAAAATGAATTTTATTTGTCATTTATTCCTTTATTTTTCTATTATTGCACGTACATATGTATGTATGTACGTATGTACACTACCATTCAAAAGTGTGGGATCAGTAAAATTTTAAAGATGTTTTTAAAGAAGATTATTATGCTCATCAAGGCGGCATTTATTTAAAAAAAATTTACTAAAAAAAAAAAAAGATTCAAAACTGAGAATCGTGACCCCCATTAAACACCCATGATGTTTTTCCATTTTGCAGGGCAGGTGATTCCATCTGCAGGGACAGGGGTCGAGGCGGCTGCTGACAAGTCCTCCGACTCACCAGAGCTGGTGAAGTCAGTGCTGGTCGTGAGTGGAGGAGAGGGTTACATCGACTTCAGGATGGGTGAGTCAGATGCCTCCCGGTGCTGCGGTCCCGTTTGAAACGCCTGATCACTCACACACTCCTCTCTTCCTATCACAGGAGATGAAGGAGGAGACACAGAAAACATCGGCGAACCCACTCTGAACCTGCAGCCCTTCCTGGCCAAAGCCGAGCGCAGTCACCTCATCGTGTGGCAGGTCATGACCGGCGAGGAGTGACGTCGCTCCAGACGCACTTTGTTTGGACCTCTTTTTCACTCCCTTCTGCTTTATTTAAGACCTTTCAAGCACTGGCTTATAGAATTTCTATCATGCAAATCACGATTATCGACGAAGAATGAAGTATTCATACTGTTTGTGCTTTCGCTAAGTTTTCCGAAGACCTTCGCACATCATCTTTGGCAATACAACGGTTCCTTCACGCAGTTAGGATGGCAAATAATGGGCGATTCAGTCCAGTTTTTTTGGGCGAGAGCACAACGGGCCGATGCACAATGCACTACATCGTGCCTAGAAGAGCTTTTGTGTTTGTTTTCGCTGAAGAATTGCTTTCTCAATCCTTAAATCATCCAGATACTGTGAGCGCAAATGCAATATTTTCATATGAATGTCGCACGGTTACCAAAGGATAGAGAAATTGATTTAATAGCCTCATTGATGGACTCTAGACAAACTATTTTATCACTCCCCCGTCACGCAGATCCACGTCACGTTTTGCTCGTTCGCCGTCTTTTTAACACTAGAGCGGTTTTCGCAGAAAGTAGTGTGTAGATAAAGGTGCAGAGACAAATGCTTATTTTTATGACACTTTTGTACACGTCTTTTAGACTCTAATGTGTGACGGCAGGCGTCCTGCTGATGCTGCACTGCTGTTGTGCTTGCGTTCGTGCTGAGCTGCTTCGTTTGCAGGAGAGCAGAAACAACTTCCTATCGCAAACTAGCCATTGCAGTATTTATTTCTATGAACGAGCCTTTGCAGTTCAGAATGTAACTTTGTACATTGAATATAAATATATATACGAAATACAGATATGTAAATGAAATGTAGACTGCTTGGATTTGAGTTTTTTTGATCATGTAAATCAGGTTGATTGGTTGTGGGCAGATCAATCTTAATAACAGACTACAGAAATGTACTTTCACTGAGCTATGCACTATTTTTAAAGAACAGCGGGGGTGTGTGTGTGTGTTGTGTTTAGATGAGTGTGTTATGCCAGCATTTTGTGGACCGGAAGAGTTCACCGTCCCATAATCCTCCATGTTTGGGCACTTCCTGTCTGTAAGAATGGAGCGGACATCAGCGTCACCCAGTATCCTCTCTTAGACTGTCGTCCCTTCAATATCTCCTCCAAGCTCATCTTAGCCTTATACTTTTTATTAATCTATTAAACTGACACTTTTGGGGAACTTGGTGTGTTTTTATTATGATTATTATTAATTATTATTATTACTACATGCAATATACAAGATTATTTACATTTAAAAACAATTATTTAGCATTTTTTCAAATGATTAAATGTACAAAGTTTGTCCCTTACTGAGAAGTAAAATAATAAAATAAAAAAAACATAATAAAACAAAGCAAATTTTTATATTAAATTGTTTGTTCATTGAATCTGATGGCCCATAACACACTGCACAACACCCACAAATGTATTTGGGTGCTTAAAAATGTTAGTAGTAATTACTGTACATTTTTACATTGTACATTTACAATTTTTGCTCCAGAAATGAAGCCAAAGCAGTTTTAAATCCGTTTTGGATGAGTCAGTTTATTGAATTATTCAAATTGTTCGTTCACCAAGTGTAACAATGTAACCTTCAAAAGATCAGCACCTCTAATGACAGTCTGTCTGGAACACAGACAAAAGGAGTGATACAAACAATGAAGAAATTTGTTCCAAATAATAAAACAACAGATATATTGTTTAAAATGAAAAACGTCCTGGTTGTAAAACGTTGGTGGATCATATTGATCGTGAATCTGAATCTCTGCACGTTTGGTTCCTCTGCTGGACACCTTTGAGGAGAACTGACTTTATCCACCTTATTTTAAACATTTAACCATTTGTAACGTCAGTGTGTGAGACTCCCATTCGCTTCCAGTTATTTTTAGCAGTACAAAATAGCTCCTTACACTGCTTGATATTGCAAACTGCTATTTCTTATCATGTTATTTTAATGTGTTATTGTAGTCATAAACACTGGTTTGTAGTGCAAATAGTTTTACCGTTAACTGCACTTTGTTATTCTTCTAGTTATTTACCTACAGCAGCTAATGAAGCAGAAGTCTCGCACATTCACAGAAAACAGCTTACTTCTCTGTGGTGAAATCAGGTGAATACATGCACTAAAATCACACTGACAGCTGTTGATTAAAAGTCATTGCAAATGGCTCAGAAAACTGACAATTCTGAAAGGTTTTTTTGTTAGTGTAATTATACATTCAAGTATTGAGTAATATTAATTAACTACATGTATTTACTATATGGTTAGGTTTAGGATGAGGGTTTAGTTTTGGGTTAGTTGCATGTAATTATGCATCATTTATTATTACTATAGTAAGTACATGTAACGTGTAACAAGGACACTATAAAAATAAAGCATTATTTTTTTGCAGGTGCCTCTTGGTTTTGATGTTTTGTTATATGATGCAATGAACATGCAGACATTTCATAAGTGTGACTTAAGGCAAGACAGCAGAGGTGAATAGAGTAAAAATTATTTTAAAAATTATGTTATGAAATGCTGTTTAAATGTTCAAATGGGGCGTTATCTAATTAAATATGCACTAATTTGCATATGAAGAGTTTATTTGCAAAAATAGTGCAAATTTTAAAATGTTCAAAAATCATGTTTGTTTTTATCCTGCATTCCACATAATATCAATTAAACTGTAGTTGGGTTGTTTTGGTTAAATAGTAATAACTAAAAAATACAGCTAACACACAATAAAAACATAACACAATAAAAAACATGATTTATGAAAATTAATAAAAACGGAGTTATCTGTTTTTGCAAATAAACTCTTCATATATTTCCAGAACAGAAATCTAAACATTGAATAAAACCAGATTCAGAATTCTTGTCTGATTTTGTTGACTTTAGATGGGAATTGGATTTCTTTTTTTTTAATCACTTAATGAATCAGAAAAACATTTTCACCATGTTTCAGAAATAAAATATAATAAAAACCAATAATATATGAATAAACCCTTCAGAATATAGACAGGGATAAAACTGTATGAAGTTTAGTGTATGAAAGTAAACAAACAAACTCACCATTTAAAGATATGAATTGATGTTGAAATCTGCAGATGCAAATAGATAAAGTGCAATAAAATAAACCCTTAATAATAATAATAATACATTTTATTTGTAATGCGCCTTTCTTACACAAGGCGCTACAACAGTATAAAACAACAATAAAAGAAACAACACTACTCCATAATAACAACAATGGCAACAACAACTGTAAGATGGTGTGTAAGTTAAAACACGAGCAGCTGAATTTTGCACATATTGTAGCCTCTTAATCGTATTTGCAGGTAACCCTGCAAAAAGAGAATTACAATAATCAAGACTGGATGTTATAAAGGCGTGAATAAGCCTTTCTGCATCAGGCATACAGAGAAACGGTCTTATACGTGCAATATTCCGAAGATGATAAAAAGCTACTTTAGTAACATTATTAAAATGAGTGTTAAAAGTCAGCTGTGCATCAAAAATCACACCCAAATTCCGCACCTGTACAGAAAGGAGAATCTGGCACTCATCCACTGTAAGTTTAAAATGATTACATCTATTTACAGCAGTTGGAGTGCCAATCAGAAGAACTTCAGTTTTTGAACAGTTTAACTGTAGGAAGTTCTGTTTCATCCAGACCTGTATTTCCAGTAAACAAGCAGATAAAGTTGAAAGTGCTGATGTAACACCAGGTTGAGTACTAATGCAAATCTGGGTATCATCTGCATAGCAATGATAACCCAGACCATACTTTTGAATAATCTGCCCAAGAGGCAACATATAAATGCTGAAAAGAGTAGGACCCAATACCGACCCCTGAGGGACGCCCTGCCACAATGGAACAATCTGAGATCTGTTTGTACCAGAATAAACAAATTGAGTGCGTTCTGAAAGATATGATTCAAACCATTTTAAATATACCAGAAAGACCAATCCACTTATGTAATCTGTCCAGTAGTATAGTGTGGCAAATGGTATCGAATGCAGCACTGAGATCTAACAAAACAAAATGCCACAAGCCCCAGAATCTGCTGCAACAAGGAGACCATTCATTACCCTCAAAAGGGCAGTCTCCGTACTGTGTCCAGACCTAAACCCTGATTGAAAAGGTTCTAGTAGTCTGCTCGCAGAGAATCTGCTGCAACAAGGAGACCATTCATTACCCTCAAAAGGGCAGTCTCCGTACTGTGTCCAGACCTAAACCCTGATTGAAAATGTTCTAGTAGTCTGCTCGCAGAGAAATTATTTTGTAGCTGACCAACTACCACATGCTCAAGAACCTTAGCAACGAATGGCAAGTTTGAGATAGGCCTATAATTAGACATGTCGGCAGTATCACTCCCAAATTTTTTAAGAACTGGTTTGACTGCTGCTACTTTAAGTGCTGGGGGAACAATCCATGAAACAAGTGAAGTGTTCACAATCACTTTAATATGAGGAATAATAACTGGCAGACACTAAATGGGTATTTTGAATGCTTGCTTTCCACTAGTCTTAAAGAAGACATGATATGGAAGCGAAACAGACAAATCTGGATGAAAAACAATGATTTTGCCTGTAGTGTCTTGCTTTGAATGTCCAAATCCATTTCAGTATGTAATCTGATGCTGTAGATCTGGCCACAGGAGGGCATCAGCGCACCGCTTCTTTACTGCCTTTGAAATGACATTCAGTGAGGAAGGAGCTGCTCCTCCCCCGTCTGTGATTGGCTGCCGCTGGTACACACAGTACATGATCTGACACAACACACTATTGAACTTCTGAATCAGTACACAGGCATCCAAAAACAATGATGAAAACTGATCTGAACCATGAGTCCTTATGAGATGCCTCACTCGTGTCTGTCTCCCCAGCAGAAATCACTGCAGCCCACTCAGTGAGGGGTGATCAGGTGAAACGTGTGGAGCTCCAGCAGCCCTCCGTCTCTTACGTAACCCGTCCAGCTGGTGTATCCAGGGAGGTTTCCCAGGGCTTAGGGAGCATGCCTGGGGCGCCTGGACGCTTCTGTGAGGTGTGAAGACTTTTTATATTTGGACAGTCTAGAGATGGACTGACTGTGCCGTTCTCTTTATAGAGCCGCACATCTGTCATATTCAGACATTTCATTTCATTCCCTTGCGCCAAACAAATAAGCCCCCAGATTTGGGTGTCTTAGAGCTTTGGAAGGTTTATATTGGATTGAGTTTTCATCATTTGGAGCGTTTCGGCCTGTGAATGAGCCTGGTGATATTTGCATTATTAGGATTTAGATGTTACATAATGCAGCGTCCCAGCGGTGCAAACTTGTCTGTAAACACTTTCCCGCTGGCGTTTTACTTTTCCACCGGCTTCATTTGCAGTTAGTGTAAAAAATCTAAGTTGACGGTGTAATTGGCCATGAGAGATTGAGTGTAATTACCCTCATGGAGCAGGAATTACATCTTTGCAGATTTATGGTAAACGCTTTTATTTCTGTTTTGCAGAAATATTGTGAAGAAATAAATATGTAAAGAAAAGGTTTCTCCCAAAAATTGGGTAGATGACATGCAAGTGTGTCCATGGACAACTTTAAAATATGAATGTATAAGGAATATTTTGGGCCTTGCAACTGCTCACAGTGTTTTACATTTTACATAATTTTTAATCACCCTTTTTGCCTTCACTACTTACGAATGATCCTGCAGTGACAAATACATTTTTTAAAGTAAAAATATATCATGGTGTTGCTCAACGAGGTCATAATTGATACATGCATATTGTTTTTATTATTACTATTATTATTGTGCGTGCAACTAATAATGCCATCACTAAATATTTATCCTTGTAAATCATTATTATTATTATTATTTTTATTAATATGTACATACACCTTTTGTTATGTCATTGAATATGTATACTTGTAAGTTATTAATATTTATTATTATTATTGTTGTTGTTGTTGTTGTTGTGTATGCACCTAATAATACATCACTAAATTTTTGTCCTTGTAAATCATTATTATTATTATTATTATTATTATGTACATGCACCTTGTATTATGTCATTTAATATTTATACTTGTAATGTTATTCATATTTATTATTATTATTATTATTGCACCTAATAATAATCATTAAATATTTATCCTTGTTTTATTATTATTATTATGTGCATGCAACTGTTGATGAATATGTATACTTGTA